AAACTCTAAGGCATAATGTCTGGACCACCAGTTGTAGAAATCTGGGAAGCAGAAGTAGGAGGGTTCAAAATAAACAGATGTAAGAAGAGATTTGTGGACATGGCGCGCCAGTTGTGTTGAGCAGTCCAAGGGGTTAACAACGGTGAGAGGGAGTATAATGTGTGATTTCTTATCATACAAACACTTGGGTAAAGTTTGTATTAACCCAAATTGTCGTGATACCAAGTTTGGTTGGTAGGCTATCAAGGTGGCTTGTCCTCTGACGAGATTGAGTTTATGAACTAACAGTCGAGGTGTGAGAAATCGATCCCAGATCAGCTTCAATTTATCTTCATGTTTCTTTAGCGGAGAAGGGAAGGGTTTGATGAACCACTCAGGACCGTACTTCCTTTCTGCGAATTGAGCCATTCTTGAGGTGAACTCGTGACGTTTGGCAAACATATGGATGAAGTTTGAAAGGTTGGCTCGAAGCGTATGTCCTTCTTCGCTTGAGTGAGTTGAACCAAGCGGGGCCATTTGACTCGTCTCTCAAAAACAAAGGACGAACCCTCATCGACTTCTCCTTTGTTGGGAAGGCTACTTTCGAAAGTAGCATTGAGCCACATCTGGAGTAGCCAGAAGGGACCTGATATTAGCAGGTTGCCATGACTTTCTGTGTTCTTCAGCTTACCAGCACCTTCGCCCAAGGCTTCATAGAGACTGGCCAGGATCATCTCGCTCAAACAAATGCCTCTTTTCAGGTGTAGCTGGTTCGCCAAAACAAGATATTTACGTGCCACCTGCAAAGATTTAGTACAGAATACGCAGCGAGACAACCACATGGCCAAGAAGGCTATATGTTCCTCAGCTTCGACAAAAGTAGTGTTTTTATTGTGATAATGTTGGACGAAGGCCGTGTAGGTGTGCTTTGTAGTTGCAAATCCTATAGTATCTTGACTATCGATTTTATGGTCGTAAACTAATCCATATGGTTTTATCCCTACGATGGCGGCTATATCAAACAGTGTGGGTGTCATCATCCCACACGGAAGGTGAAAAGTGTGATGGGTGTTGTCCCAGAAATACAAAGAGGAAGCCAGCATAAGGGGACAATAATTGGGGTCGACCTTCGACATCATTATAAGGTCATAGATACCAGTGTCTTTCCAATCCTGGGCTTTCACTTTTTCCACTTTTTCTAACCAGTTGAGGTAAAGTTCAGAGTCCTTAAAATAAGGGGTGGCTCTAAAAAACCTAGCTTCGTCATGGAGGTACTTAAGGTCTACGTCGTAGGAAGCTAGACTATCAGGACCATCAGCGGGAACCTTGCTAGAATCCTTTTGCCCTAAGGGTTTGGTTAGTCTGTAATAAGGGAAGAAGTCGCTAATACTGGAATAATCAAGACCTAAAGGAGGCAATGGGCCAGACATTGCTAAGGGTTTACCTGCAACATTAACAGGGATGATTACCTGTGATTCATAGATATGGCGTTTTTCCTCCAACAGGGGTTCACGAATAAATTGTTGATTCTTCACTACTTTAGGACCACTCAAGGTGGTGAAAGGAGGGAGAACCGATGTAGAAGATTGCCCTTTGGGTTGTGTCTTTTTCTTCTGGTGCTCAACCATTGTTGAAGTTATAAGTGTTCTTAGGAGAAACAGGATATTTGAAAAAAGCGCATGAGTTTTTGTTGGGAGTTGGAAATGTTAAAATAATACCTGAGGAAATTATTTATATGGAGTATTGAAAATCAAGAGTTTTTTTAAGTAGCTGGAGTTAGTGGGCCACATGTGTGTTCTAAGGTGGAGAAACAAGGGTGGCAGTTGTAACCTATATCCCCTAGGCTCTAAAAGAATGATGATGGTCTGCAATTTTGGTGATTCTCGAGAAACCCGCCATGATGACCATGATGTCAGGAACGTGCTCCAAAGTGACGGAGCAGTTTCTTGCGTGTTCTTTTCCGTTTCCTTCTTTCCTCTCTTTTTTCCCTTTTCATCTTCCCAGACATTAGTTGGCCAAAGTATATTGGTTGACACGTGTAAGTTGAAGTGAACGGCGCCGAATTGGATGCTGTCAAAAAAATGTGATTTTCTACATAGAGGTCGAAAAGACATTTTTGGGGGGGCAATTTGTTAGCTCCTAAATTCGACACCCCTTGCAAGTTAAGATATTTAAGAGAAAGTATTAGAATCTTGCTGGAGGTGAGAGTTGGTCGAAAAGTGTAAGACCTTTTGAGCAAGAGGAGTCGAAACACTTGCAAGACTTAAGGAAAATCATGATACTTCAAGGCTCCGACCGTGACGTTGCTAGGCAGTTATCCTAAAGATTTGAAATTCAAATGAACTGGAGGAAGTGGTTTCGCTTGCTGGATGACTGGGAAGGACACGTGGCGCCCTGTGGGCGACGTACCCATGCATCACGACAAGTGTCGGAAGATGATGATGTAGGAGGTTATTGGTAGTTATATTTTACTATTATAAATAGGAGTCTTAGACATAGAATCCAGTGTGTTGTAATTTACTTTTGTACAAGTCACTCTTAAAATTACTCCAAGTATCCGAGTGTAGAGAAAGAGAGTACCAAAGAGAATGTACGTGATGTAAACATACCATCTTTTACTTTCCAATGAAGTTTATTTTACTTGTTTAACTTTACGAAGTTTTCTTTACCTTTCTTGCAATTACCTTCTTTCTATGAATTTTCCTTCATCCTCGTCCTCAATCCTTTTCTAAAGCCTTTATCTTTCCCTTTCTAAAAACTTTATGCTCTTTTTCTCTTACAGTCGAATAGATACTTTTTAGAATCTTTTACCGCAATATTGCCAAAGTGTGAAACTTAAATAGATTTCCTAAATTCAAAACCTTTTTAGCACATGTCCTAGGATCAATCTGATCGATCCTGTGAGTCACCAAAGTTAAATTTGGAAGATCAGTGGTTGTTTTCTAATTTTCAAGGGAAACAGGAACACACTCAATCTTTCTTTATTTCTAGGAGAACAAACCATGATAATATCATGTTAGCCCAAGAGCTGGTGAGAGGGTATGGCAGGAAAAATATTTAACCAAGGTGTATGGTTCAGATGGATATACAAAAAACTTATGACACTGTTGAGTGGCAAGCTTTACATCACATCATGGTTGACTTAGGCTTTCCCCATTTATTCATAGATTGGATCACGGATTGTGTTACAACTGTCTCATACAGGTTCTCTATCAATGGTACTCCTTTTGGCATCCTAAAAGCTGAAAGAGGGTTGAGACAAGGAGACCCCATCTCCCCTCTCCTCTTTATGCTCATAATGGAATACTTGCATAGAGTGCTCTGAAGCCTTGGGTTCAATCCTAATTTCAAATTTCACCTTAAATGTGATAAACCCAAAATCCTCAATCTGTGTTTGTTGATGACATTCTTATCTTTTTAATATGAGACATAGGATCCATGAGAATATTGATGAATAGAATGGATTAGTTTACTGCTGCTACAGATCTCCATATTAGTAACCCCAAGAGTAAACTTTATTTTGGTGGAATGGATAAGGAGATGCAGAGAGACATTCAGCTTGAGACAGGTTTTGATGTTGGCTCTATGCCTTTCAGATACCTTGGGGTACCCTTGGACAGCAAGAAGTTAACCATATCTCATTGTCAACCGCTAATTGATATAATGATGAGCAGACTGCAACACTAGAGCACCAAATTATTGTCATATGCAGGAAGACAGCAACTGATTAACAGTGTGTTTTTCTCCATAGCTATTTATTGGATGAAAATCTTCTTGTTGCCTAAGAAGGTTACCAGTCATTTAAAAGGTTTGTGCATAATCTTTTTGTGGACAGGTAAGAGTAATCCTAGCAGAAAAACTCCTATTTCTTGGGAGAATGTGTGTGATCCCAAAAATGCTGGTGGGATGAATTTGATCTCCCTTGGTGATTGGAATAAAGCCACAATAGGAAAATTATTGTGGAATATTTGGGCTAAGCAAGATAAGCTTTGGATTCACAAGTAGTATATGAAACATGAATATACTAGTAGTTATCATCATGGTCCGAATAGTTCTTGGATTCTTAAAGCAACTTTTAAGCATAGAAATATGTTAGTGCGATCTGATGCTTGGAAAGAAGTCCAAGATAGTGGCATATACAACACGAGAAAGCTCTATCAAATGATCTGGGGCGACAAACCTAATGTGGATTAGAGGAAATTAATCACTGAGAATTTGGCTAGACCTCGAGCAATATTCACTCTGTGGTTAACTTGTAACAATAGACTGCTTACTAAAGATCGTATGAGTAAGTTTGGAATGATTAATGATGGGTTATGTGTGTTCTACGGCCATACTGAGACCTGCCAGCACCTGTTCTTTGAGTGTGAGTTTACAAATCAGGTTTGGGCTGTCATGTTGAATTGGTTGGACTGTACTCATAAACTGGGTGCGTGGGACGTGGAACTTCTATGGATTGTGCATAACGTTAGAGGTAAAGGTTGCAAGAGAAGACTCATAAAAATTGCATTTGCTGAAACTATATACAAGATTTGGAGTGTGAGGAACAAGATCATCTTTTAAGGGGGCAAAAAGGATGAGCTCCAAAGTTAAAAAAAATATTGAAGTTGTCCTTAGAAGAGCTGAACTTAATAGAAAGATTGTGATATATTGTAATAGAAATTATTAGATTTTTTTTTTTATAGTTTTGTGTTTTGTTGTTTAGGCGTGGATTGATTCATCAACTTGTTTTTTATTATTCATTTGGTAATAAAATTTATTTTTATTAAAAAAATATAAAAAAAAAACAAAAAAATAAAAAAAAACAAGAGACACCGCATCATAATGAAATTAAAGTTAAATTACCTTTTTTTATCACCCTTCTAAATCTAGATTTCTTCCCAAAAAAAACCAAATCATCATAGTGCAACACAACACAACACAACATGCATCTTCTTCGCTTTCCTTCAATTCTATTATAAACCACAAAAAAAACAAAACCGTTTTCTTTCTCCATTTCTCGTTCTTTTCCCTCTATCCAAATGGGGGCATACAGAGCCGATGACGATTACGATTATCTATTCAAAGTGGTTTTGATCGGTGATTCAGGTGTTGGTAAATCAAATCTTCTTTCCAGATTCACAAAGAACGAATTCAGCCTCGAATCTAAATCCACCATTGGCGTTGAATTCGCTACCAGAAGCATTCGTGTTGATGATAAGGTTGTTAAAGCTCAGATTTGGGATACTGCCGGTCAAGAAAGGTATAACACACATTTCAATTTTTTATATATTAATTTTTTGCATTTTGAATGGAAAAATGAATGTGGAAGAGTATATTACATTATACTAACCCTTGTTTTGTTTCTGATGTTATATTATTGATTTATTTGATGATGATTATTATTATTATTATTATTATTATTATTATTAAACATGAATGATTTGAGTTATAATGATTTAGTTTAATATGCTTTGGTGTTAAAGGGTATCATCCAGGGCCGTATTCGAGGGTGTGTTGCCTCACAGGATCCAAAATTTGACACGGTTAAACTATGGTTAGATATTGCTTCATAAAATATTTGTATGTCAGAAAAATAAGGCCTCTATTTGTTTTGCACCAGTTAAACTATAGTTAACCTACGTAGAACCTCTGAGAAATTAAGACGGCTCTAATATCATGATTCCTTTTTAGCATTCTTGTAATGATTGTTTAGTTGTTAGTTAGTGGTTACCATCCAGTGTATCTAAAAATCATGCTGCTTTTTCAAAATGATGATGCATTTCATTTTTCCAAAGGAGAATGTGTTACCTTCTGTCTTGTTCTTATTGCTAGTTTAACTGTGCTGGTTAAGTTGTGAATTTGATTGTGTTAGTAGGACTTATTTATCATAGCTTCCTATAGTGATAGCATAAGTTTCCAAGGATCAAAATAAACCAATGACTTTTACAATGTTCTTTTATTGTCTGTTTTGATACAAAATAAGTTGAAATATTTGAGTCATTATTGCTTGCTTTTCTTATTAACTAAACCTTTCCAAGGACGTCGATCCTTGAGACGAGAAATATAACAAAAATAAACATAATACTAGAGGAAAGAATAATGTGAATATAATTTAATAAGACTGTGTTTCTAGATCTTTCTTTACTAATTATCTACCATACTGTATTTTATCGATTTTTCATGTTATATTGTTATCTCATTTTGCTTTTCTTACTAAAGGTACCGAGCAATTACGAGTGCTTATTATCGTGGAGCTGTTGGCGCTTTATTAGTCTATGATGTTACCCGCCACGTAACATTTGAAAACGTGGAGAGATGGCTAAAAGAGCTCAGAGATCACACAGATACCAACATTGTCGTGATGCTTGTAGGCAACAAAGCAGACCTGCGACATTTAAGAGCAGTTTCGACAGAAGATTCTACATCTTTTGCTGAACGGGAGAATACATTTTTCATGGAGACGTCTGCCCTTGAGTCGTTGAACGTTGAAAGTGCCTTCACAGAAGTGTTGACACAGATATACCGCGTTGTAAGCAAGAAGGCCCTTGAGATTGGCGATGATCCAGCTGCTTTACCTAAAGGACAGACGATCAATGTTGGTTCCCGTGATGATGTATCGGCTGTGAAGAAAGGAGGATGTTGTTCCGCTTGAGTATGTTGTAAAAGTCTCTGTATTTTTTTACTCCGAAATTTATTTCTTGTTTATACCATGTAGAGATTTAACTGACAGAATGAAGATGATTGGTTAGAGAGCATCAAACTAAGTTTCTGCTTTAGTCGGTAGAGAATTATGTTCAATATTAGCAATTTTATTTGTGTTATTTTTTGCGCTGTTTTGAGATATTCATTAGTCTAATTTCAAAATTTTCAAGTCTGTTCTTTTGTTAATCTTAACCATACTTATATATATATATATATATATATATATATATATATATATATATATATATATATATATATATATATATATATATATATATATATATATATATATATATATGATCTTCTATGTTACGCATGCACACTGATAAAGTAAATTATTCTATTGCTGGAATGTATTTTTTTTAGAAGTCGAATAGGTTATTTTTTAGTTTTTATAGGGTTTGTGATAAATATATAAGATATAATCAAATATCCCTTTTAAAATTGAATATGATGTGATTACGGGTAACCCCAATTTTTTTAACACCCCAAATCATAAGGTGTACTTAATTTTGATAAGTATTTGAATTTGACTTTTCAAACTTGTAGTTATTTCTTAGATTGTTCATTGCATCCTTAGTGGTTCTCTTGCATCCTATAAATTTTCGAAATTATATCTCTTGTATTGTCTGGAGTATACAATTCACATCCAAGGATATTGTTCTTTGAATATTTCATATGGGTATTAATATTTAGGCGCACCCTTTATAATCAAACTCCCTTATTCATTAACATTTCTTTATGTGAGAACTAGTCAAAATTTCTCAATTTCTATTCTTTCTCATTTAAACTAAGTTGTTTAATCAATTTCGATTATTCGTTTCTTACATTTGAAGAATATTTAGTAAGTTTAACCGTTTCACATCCTCACTTTACTTCCTGTGATCAATGATTATTGATTATGTTGTATTCAATTTCGTCGTTCTTATGGCACATGCTTCTGTCAGACCTACTACTACTACACCTCAGGATTTTCCTAGCGACCCAAAGAACATGTCACTACTCCTTTAATGGGTTGGGATCCTTTCCATTTCTAAGACATGTGACATATAATTAATATTTAATTGATTTTATATACAACAAAACTATAGTAAGGAAGAAAATGGAGAAACAAAGAAATGGAGAGGATCCCAACCCTCCTTCAATATGCAAATTATGTTGATGCTCACATGTGGGAAGAAGAGGTAAAACAAATATTTACTTATGCTTTAAAACATTTATTTTATGATAATTATATTAATTGAACTATATGAAGACGATGTATTAATTTTTTGCAGTACTTTGAGACATTGAAACAATGTGAAAATCGTAGTGACCATCACATTTAACATCTATAATTCGATCAATGTGTTTGTGCATAAAAGCATGCATCTCTTCACTCTGTTTCATTTTTTATAAAGGTGGGTGATAACTCATTTATTGTGAGATATTTAAACTCTAAATAGTTTAATTGTTCATTTAAATTTTACTTAATTAGAGTTATTTTAATATGTTTTCTAGTAAATTTTCGTAGTTATCAACGATCACACTAGGTGCCCTCTCTTTTAGTTTTTACGTTGTTCTTGATATGCAGGAGTAGCCATTATGATAAGTTATGTTATGAAAGCATCATAAAAAAATTCCAACAAGTTTTGAGGCAGAAGAAGATAGATTAGGTTGTGAATTATAAGTTAAGGGCGATGTTTGAATAATCAGAAACAAATTAATTAAGGGTAAGATGTAAAGTTTAAGATATAAGGATGAACACTAAAAGACAAAATATTGCAAAATTTGTTGGAGTGCGCCACAAGTCGCCCCTCAGCTAGTGCATGTCTGCCACAAGTCGTGTGGTGCCTCATGCACTATGCACCATCCTAGTACTTGTACTCTTAGAAAAGATGATAAATTTTATTCCTTAGGATGAAACTAAGGTTAATCACAAGGCCTGGGACCTAAAGAAGGAGACAAAACACAAGTTGAAGAGTTCATATAAATGAATAGGCATTGGCCTTTGAAAAGTGGTTTGAAACTCAAGATAGAAAATCAATAATAGTGAAAGAGGAAGAATCGTATTTCTTGTGAATGTATCTTATTCAAGAAGTAGTTTTGATGAAAACAAAAGATCGCAAAGAAGTATTTTGAACCAAGGTAAAGCATATAAATCAAGATAATCAAGACATAAGTGAGTAGAATCTTATTCAAAGGTACTTGTTACAATTTATGTTATAAGACGTTTCAATGCTTAAAAAAATTATTTTTCACTTTATTCACACCCTTTTTACATTACATTTATATTTATGCATCATATCATTTTTAAAATTGTATTTTCTAAGCTTTACGGAAAAGTGGTATTCGAATACCATATATAATATCTGAATACAATATGAACAAAGGGCAAAATTTTCAAGTTTCTAAGGGGGGGTATTCAAATACTATATATGATATTCGAATACCAAATGAACAAAACTCAATTTTTCTAGATTTTCAAGGGTGGTATTAGAATACCATATATGGTATCCGAATGCCCAAATTTCAAATTTTTTTTAAACGTATTTTTGTTTGATATTCAAATACCACATTGTAGTATCCGAATACTAACCAGAAGACATATATTTTTTTTCAAAATCAAATTGTTCTTCAACTATTGCATTGACTCATGGTTTGATAAAATCCAAAAAATTGCATTACATCATATTTCATATGCAAAATTCAATGTAATGATTCATGAATGGTTTCTAAATAAAAGCGCATCTCTTCGTGACAATGTTTCATGGTGTATATAAGATTCACTTTTCAAAATTCAGATTTCACCTCTTTTCAACATTAAAAATTCTCATATTAATTCAAGCATATTATCAAGTACTCGTTCATTAAAAACTTGTGCATTACTTTCACATCATCCAAAGTTTTGTAAATATTATTCTGAGCACTTTATTGTCATAGTTTGAATTATAACATATTAAAAGAGAATATCCAAGGATAAAGTTTTGGATTCAAAAAATAAGACAATATTACTTCAAGTTATTTTAAAAGTTTGTTGTGACTTAATCATCAATGTTTTTGGTGATAAGTCATTTGTTGTAAAAGATTTTTTGTGTTGGTGTTATTCAAAATCCACCATAGTATGAAGGGACTAGATGACCCTTGGTTGATAAGGAAACTAGCATAATTATCTTGTGTTCTTTACTTTTATGCATTTTATCATCCTAAGAGCATAACATTAAATATATTATTTTTGGTAAAATAACAAGATAAGATCCTAAGCGCAAAACCAAAAAAAAAAGTCGGACAACCTTACTTCACTCCCCCCTTTTAGGTTACATTTCATACTTACAGTTCTGGCGTGTCTCTATACTCGTCATTTCTAAAGAAGTGTAACACTAAAAGACGTGACATAAGATGTCTCTTTTTGGTTGAAATCTATAAATGGTTTAAGTGTCACTCTTAGGTTTATCATTTTTTAAATTCTTGTTTAGAAATGTTTAGCCTATGGCCTTTTCTGTTGTATTTACATGGCTCATTATGTGTTAAACTATTTGTGTTGGATAATATTAAATTTAAGAATAAAGTAATATTTTGTATGTTATGAGTGTTTGATTGTGGTATATTTATTTGTATTCTTTTATGTTATATATTTGTTTATTTGACCGATCATCTTAAGAATATACCAAATTATTAGGATTGATGAATTTTATAATAAATGTATTCGGTGAACAAGTGTGGTTAGAAAGCAAAGTAGGTATATTTTGTCAACTTAGTTAACTTTATGAATATAGAACTTGAACCATAAAAGTAATTAGAGAAATTAATTGAAATATACTGATTTTTTTGTGAGGCTTATAAATAAGTTTAGTAGTGAATCAATGCATATTTTAAAGTTGTAGGCATATACCACTAGTTAAAATTTTGGTTTCATATGTCATGACATAACATATCATATTCATAGATTAGATGGAGTCATTAAATGGATCATTGTCCAGCATGATATTCCAATAATGCTAAAATATTTACTTCCAAGTTGCAATTTATTTGTTTCAGATCGCGTGACAATAATCTATTATTTTAAATTTATTACCTTTGTTCATGTTCATTTTATAATTTCTTGTATAAGAATCATTAAAGTTAATATGATTTTCGTGGAATCGGCATTTTTACTTAAATTTTTGCTATTATTTTGACTGTGTATACTTGCACATACAAATTAGTCAACAGTGAAAAATGTGAGGGTTTGTTGATGCGAGCATCCATAATAGAACTTCTTTGGATTGTGAAAGTGGAGAATCCGAATAAAGTAAGTCGAAATGTACAAATTATGATGGTGACCACTTGGTAAAGTTATCACTAGGTGTTGTTTTGACCTTCATATGAGAATCCTTATTATTTTTATTGGTTTTGCGGGTGGTTTCATATCAGTAATTTCTGGATAAACTATTTTATGCATCTGTTCTTTGATGTGTGATTTCATGTTATAATAAACTTTCAAAAATATCTATTAAATCACCTCTCATTCTGTCATAATATAGATATTCGATTTATCATTCTTAATCTCACCATCATTATCAAACTAAAGCATATCCAAGTGTGTTCTTACCTCATCCATAATTATAGGTCTATGAAGTTTCATATTTTTTACTATTAAACAAGAACATGGAAGACTATATATTTTTATATGTGTATGTTTTGAATCGGATACATTTAAACAAAGTATAAACGGTTTCTTTGTGATCAAGAAACACACAAGGGTTAGGGTTAATAAAAAAAGGAAAGCAACAACAACAAGGATTGGCTATTAAACTGCTATTCTTTCCTTTCTCTTAGAACAAGATTACAAGTATACAAGAATAACAAAATAACCTCTCTCCCTTGAAATTAGGATTTTATCTTCCTATTTTTCCTTATGCCAAGATTGAGAAACTAACATCCTATTTATAAAAAAATAGCACACTAACCTAATGGACTTTTTAACAATTA